CCACGGGGCGTGCGCGTGTGTCGGACGGTGATCCCCGCCCGGCTGCAGGCCCGGACAGCCTGCCACCCTGCGGCCCCGCCAGCCCCGAGTCGCGTGGGGGTGGAGCCGCCCTCGGCCACCACTTCCTGAGAGCCGGGGATACCCCTCCCGGACGTCACGGAGGAGCCGAGGCGGCGGTGGCGGCCCGGGGCTCATCCTGCACTTGCATCACGGGTGCAGCAGCAGCTGCTCTGCTCCTTTGTGGCTTTTTCCCGTGTTGAGTAACTGCTTTGTTAACTGAAAATACCATGACGGGCCAGTGTGATCACCAGCTCCAGACCTCAAAGAAAGTGAAGCTGTCAGGCAAGAAGAGGGAGACTCCCCTAGCCGGCTGCGATGGTATCTGTTGGGTGGGTGTGCAGAGAAGCACTTGACAGTTTCCACGTATTACTTCTTGCCTAACTTTTCACCCCAAGAAGGTTTAAAAATACTTTTATTTCCATGCTGTAAAAATTTCATGTATTCTGCACCCCACCCATTCCCCCCATCAATTTGAAATCGCATGCAGAACTGGAATCACTGAAAGGAACAGTTATTAGGTACAGTTTTTAGGAAACAGGACATCTTTCAATGAATTTGTTAAGTAAATTGCATTTGCTAATGTTAATATATAAAAGATCCTTGCCCACTGAAGTTACTTATAAAGCTACTAGCTAAGTTTGTTCATATGCGTTGGACTTCTCGGTGACGGTTTCAAACTGGTATCCTTATTCACCTTAATTTAAAAAAAAAAGTTCCATCCCTGGCTGAATATCTCCAGGTAAAGCATATCTCTCTTTGACTCTCTAAGTGGTTGTGCCTTTCTGGACGTCTGTGTTGGTTAATTATGTGCTTCTCTCGTCCCTTTTCCCCCACCCTCTGCCTCTTTTAGATCCTTTCCTTCCTGAGTATCTGGTCCCAATCTTTGTTCCTTGACCGCTCTTAGGCAGAGGGCTGTTGTCTGATTGCGATGAGCCAATCAGCTGGCTTAGTGCTCCTCTGGGTAGGAAGCTGGTCTGACTGTTGGAGAGGTTCCAGAGGACACTGATAATTGGCAACATTTTTGCACTCAAATGGAAAGTTATGGAAGCAGATACAAGGATCTCTTACACACTGGGACACCATCCTGTGCGTAATCCTAGGGTCCTAATCATATGCAGTTCTTTAGGTGACCTCAAACCAAATGAATTATTTTGTTCTCTTCTTCAAATTAGTATCTGCTGTTCTATACTGTTTGAAAAGTCTGAGTTACAAACAATCAGGCATAATTTTCTCTTTAGGCTGATGTAATACGACGATTTCAGTAATACAAATTACCTTTTCAAAGACTTTTTTAATTAAATGAAACTTAATACTTTATAATTAAATCTCTTCTTTGGGGGAATCAAATAGAATAAGGCTACCTTAATCTGTGAAATGTTGAAAACTTAATCTGGTTTGGTTCTTGTTCTAGAAGAGGGACATTCATGTGTGGCCTAGTTTACACCCAAAGCAAAGAAAGCAGCTAGTTTCTATTTTCATGATACTTATAGCAGCCAATCTGTTAAAAGCCCTTTCTATGAAGTAACTATTACAGATTCACTGGATAATTACCTTTTATTTTGTTTTGGTTTTGTAGGTGTAGTTTGCGAGACAGAAAATTCTCATTCTCTCAGAAAATAAAATATGGAATTTTGGGGAAGTTTATTGTGTATGATATAAAACAATTGCTTTAACAAAATAGGATTTAAAACTGCTTTAAATGCTTCTCTCATTAAGAAATGATATAGAAATCTTGTTGATTTTGCTAATATGTAAAGAATGGTGATGAGTCTTATTGCACAAATTGGGTGAGGAAAGGTGAAATCAGAATTCCAAGCCAGAAATTGTTACCTAAGGTGAAAACAGGAAGGAATAGTAAAAGACTTAAAAGTTTGTTTTCCTAAATCAGTAGAGAAGTTCTCTACTGCATTTAAGATGTGTGTAAAAAGTTTGGTAGCTTAGGCTGACATTGACTTACACACTTAAATTACTGGGCTCAGGAACATTAGGCAATTGTAGTAGTTTTTTGTCTGACCTACCTGCATACCATCCCTTCCTTATCGATTCTATCATTGCCAGATTAGTATTCCTAAAATACGCCTTTTGTTATATCACTCTTAGGCTCAGAAGCCTTGTGCAGCTAGTCATTGTCTCTAAAATAAAACCCCAAAGGGTCCACCTCCTGACCTCCTTATTTCTGCAGAATTTTTCTGTCCTAGTCAAACTGGTATTCTCACTGTTCTTCGAACATCCTTTCACTCTCCCACATTTGTTCATAGTTTTCCTTTTTATGGTGTTCCTTTCTTCCCCTTCTCTGCTTATTGAACTCTTACCCTTCCTCTAAAACTAGCTCAAGAAATGAACTCAGATTATGCTTTAGTCTTTCATAAAATTCTTATTTTACTGTCTTCTTTTTCTGCTCTTGTGTCCACAGCTTATTCCTCTGTCAAACTATTAAGCTTCAAAAGCACTGCCTCACACATCTTTGAAATTTCTGTAGCCCCTAAATTTAACATAGATAGTAAACATCCATACAATATTCCCCATCTTAATT